TTCTAGATGCCTGCTGCATTCTCTCTTCCTCCTGGCTCTTTTCTCTCACCTCTTTGCAACTGGTACACAGTCTGAACTGTGTCTTAAAGACTAGATGGGTACAGAGCTCAGCTCATCTTAACAAAAATAGCCTTCGTTAATGATAACTTTTATATAGACACTTTCAAAACCAGCAAAAGCCTGATCAGATCTATAAGGTAACCACAGCGGTAGACAGTAAAGTCATTAGTCCCCATTGTATACATTTGGAAACCAAAGCTTAGGGAATGACACGAGTGGCCTCAGGTGACTTAGTGGCAAGCATGGAAGCTGGCTTGATTAGAAAAAAGCTTTTTTTTTCCAACTTAGTGACCGTCTTTGGGCATTATTGCATCTTCCAGTGAGAAATGTTGCTGCCCCTTTCCTGGGTGCATAAGCCCTACCCTTGAGTGTTTCTCAAGACCAGAAGGCCTGCTTTTTTCCTGGTTGCATCCTTCTCGGCATGGAAGACTGCTCTGTGCTGTCTCTGGGACGTGGCCTGTGTAAGTGTGGGTGCAGATACCGTCATCGACCTCGGAAAACATGTGCCGCTGCTCAGCCTTGTCTTCTTTGATGCTCACTCCAGGAGACCTGTGGGTTTGGCTGTGAGGCCTGATTGGACTCTGGAGCTTTCTAGTATGCGCTCTCCCCTGACTCTCCTAGCCTGGATCAGCTGGGCTCCTCCCCCATGGAGAGTCTGAGCTTAAGTCTCAGTGGAATCCAGTTTGTGCCAGCTGACGGCTGTTACTGACCTATCCCGGCACATCACCTTAGCTTTGGCCAGAGCATGCACCGCCTGCAGAATGTAGCCATTAAAACTGATGGCAGCCATGCCTTGCAATCTGCACATCTGGATACAGAGGTAGGGCAAGGGGCCACAGACATTCCTATCTCACTCACCTCAGCCTGCCCAGTGTCACTCTCCCCGCCGGATACATAAGCCATTCTTCAGTCTGGGCCACCTGGGCTCCAGCTCCAGGTGAATTGAGTCTACGGGGTGGGGGGGGGGTGGGGATGGGGGCGCTCCTGGCCTCAGCCTGGGCAGGCTGAGATGAGTGGGAGGGACAAGGCAGAACGTCTCAGTTCAGCCCTTAATCACCAAGACATATGTCCCTGACTGCTCCATCTGGGAGGGAGCCTTGGGGCCTCCCAGCCCTCCATGAGACGGTATATTATGGGGAGCCAATGTCCCTGACATCCTGTTTGGTAATAACCCATTACATTCTCTAGATTCCTGCTGAGGAGGGCTGGTGGGGAATTCGGTCTGTAGCCCTGCTTCAGACTCCTTTGCTCCTTTGTCTTTGGAGCAATTGTAACCTCTTTGAAACTTCTGCCTCCTAACCTCACTTCCCCAGGCCATTTGGCTGCAATTCTGACAGTAGTCTGGGCGAAGCAATTGTCTGGACCCACAAGGGAACGCAGCAGCTGGGCTTCTTTCTCTAGTTTCCTCTTTTTCTTTGGGACCCTTCAGAGTCAGAGTTGGGGTGGAACACATTTGTTGAGTGGTTGATATTATGTGCCAGGGGCTTTTACTTTCTCCAGTATTTTATTTAATGCTCTCAGTACCTACACGATGTGGATGCTAGCTGGGTGTGGTGGCTCACACCTATAATCCCAGCACTTTGGGAGGCTGAGACAGGGAGACAGGAGGATCACTGGAGGCCAGGAAATGGAGACCAGCCTGGGCAATATAGTGAGACCCCATTTTTACAAAAAAATAAAAAGAAAATCAGCCAGGTGAGGTGTGGTGCTTGTTGTTATAGTTCTGGCATGCACCACACCACACCTCAAGAGGCTGAGTTGGGAGGATTGCACAAAACCAGGCGTTTGAGCCTGCAGTGAGCTGTGATAGCACCACTGCACTTCAGCTTGGGTGATAGAGTGACCCCAAAGAAAACCCCGTAAATATGAAAAATAAATAACATAAACATTGAAAAAAAGATGTGGATACAATGGCTCCTATTTTACAGAGGAGGAGATAGAAACCTAGTGAGCTTATACAACCTGCCCAAAGTCAAAGAGCTAGTGATTGACGGCACTAGGATTTGAACCCTGGCTTGTGACTCCACTAGACCAGAAGGAACAGGAAAACAGCCTGGGGGTTCGGGTTGGTTCCTTTGAGTCTGAGCACCTTGCTTGGCTGGCATGAGGGCCGGTGGCATAATGCAATGGCAAACAATGCTGAACATGGAGTGAAAAGATCAGGGTTATAGTCTCAGCTGTGACACTTTTCTCTGCATGAGCTTGGAAAAGTCTCCTGGGCCTCAGTAGGCGTCATACTATAACTTTTCTAAAATACCAGTGTGGAGAGTGGCACCACAGATCAATCAAGTCAGCCTTCTGGGGAGGGACCCCGAGCACTGGTATGTTTTTAAAAAACACTTCCTAGCTGATTCTCATGTGCATTCAGGGGTGAGAATCACTGAGCAATGTGATTTAGACCAGGGCTTCTCAAACTTTAGTGTGTTTGCCTAAGGATCTTGTTAAATGTATTGATTCTGGGTGTGGGGCTTGGGATTCTGCATTTCTAACAAGCTCCCGCGTGATATTGATGCTGCTAGTCTGGGACTACACTTTGAGCAGCACGGGACTACAGGGCTGTAGGTAGTCATGAAATAACTCGGCCCTGACGCGAGTGAGGTGGTCCCCTTCTGCCACCCCCAGCTAGGGCCAATGCCTAGCATCAGGGATGGGAAGTGCATCTCTCCTTCCCTTTCCAGTAGCCATGAGTAACTGAGGGTTGCAGTGGGATTTTAAGGATGTGTTCCTAGCATGCAGGTCTACCCTAGAGATTTGCTCCCCTTCCTCGGGTGGCCACACTTGTGACCCTTTAGGGGCCACTGTCCGCTCCTGTGCCCGCCTCTCTGGAAGTCCTAACCTGGTCCATCTTCTGGCACCTCCCTTTTGTCCTAATAACAGGAAATCAGAGCTGGCTGTCAGGATGGGCGCTGAGATGGGGAAAGGGTCTCATCCCAGGGGTGTGACAGGAACAGGGACAGGGAAGTGGCTGTGACAGCCAGCTCAGCTGTCCTAGCAGCAGAACCATGTTCCTTAAAGGCTCCCTTCGGGCTGGTCTTACGTGAGCTGTGCAGTCCCTTTGGGCTGGTCTTACATCACCCAGACTACCCAGATCCTGGCCTGGAGCATGGAATCCTTTTTCATGCTTGCATTGCCCCCTGCCAGACAGGTGGAGGTACTGCCAGCAGGGCTCTGTCAGACACTTGCCAGGCCTCCCCTCAGAAGTCCTGGCGTTGCCTAGATCTCTATCTTAGGTTAGGAAGTTGCAGTAACATAAAACATACATGTGTGCACACACACACACAGGGAGAGAAGGAGACGACAGAGAGTGAGAGAGCGAGAGAGCGAGAGAGAGAGGCAGAGAGAGAGGTGGGTGCATGCACAGACCCTGTAGGTATATTCAGGTTCACGGTCCCACAGTGATCCTCACTGAGTCATAGGCATGAGCAAATTTGGCTACAGCTACATGTAGAAACAGATGCTGGGGTGGGCACTGACCTGTTGCATGCACTCACAGAAATGCACAGGTGGTCATCCTTGCCTGTGCCCCTGTTTGCCCCCAAAACCCGCAGGGGCTCCAGGAGCTGCAGAGCACTCTCTTCTTCCCCTCAAATCCTCATCAGTGTGTGACCCTTGACTTTTAAAGGAGCCCATTACTTTTTCTGACTTCTAACTTCCCCCACGCTTCCCTCCCCGTCTACTTACCCAGCATGTCTGAAATACTGTTTTATCCTTCATCTTATCTGTCTAGCTGATAGGATTTCATCCTGGGTTTCCTTGTGAGTGGGCACTGGGAAGAGAGAGCTCTTCCTGTCTTGGAACAACCTCACCAGCCTCCTTAGAGTCCTTTGGTCAGGGAGGCCAGGCGAGACTGTGGCCACAGGTGCTAAGGAAGTGGAGGACGTGTTGGGGGCAGGACTCCATGGCCAGATCAGCTCTGCTAAAGCCAGCTGACTCCCCCCGCCAACCCTGCGATACCAGGTCCCGTGGTCCCAGCCCCACTCATCTTGGCACCACCTAGGTGGGAAGCAAATAACTGCCCGGGGCAGGGCTTTGCTGCTGGCATTCGGTCTACCCTGACTAGGAGTGCCTCCTCTGTGGCTTCAGTCCAGCTGCACATCACTGTTAGTGCTGGCAGGGGTGCCCAGCTCTGTGCCAGAACTCCCAGAGCAGAGGCAACAGGCTGACCTAGCCATGGCCCCCCGAGACCCTGACAGGCCAGCACTGTCTTCATGACACTCAGCACTGCACTATGCCACAAATAGGCCACGAGAGCTGGGGCAGTACTGGGAAGCTCCCTCAGGAGGAAGGACTGGAATGGGCATGGGGGAGCTGCTGTCCGACTCAGCTGGAATTCCAACCCGGGCACTGCTGCTTTGTCCACTGTGAGACCATAGGCTGAGCCTGTTTGTATGTCTGTAAAATGGGGATAGCAAAGCCATCACTGGTTATCGTTTGTATGAAATTATATTTGGCTGTCAAAGTGCTGAAGAACGTTAGATCCGATGATGAGAAAGAAATATAGTTACAGCTGAACATTCCTATTTCCTGCCTCAACTAGGGTGGTCTACCCAGGGCCTTGGAAGGGGGTGGCTTCCTCAGAAAGGCTCAGGGGTGAAGGACACAGCTGTGGCTTATCCCAGCAGGCCTCCTTGACCCCAGATTATCCTGGTTCCTGGGCAGAGGGTGGGAGACTGTGAGGGGTTTGGAACAGGCAGAAATTAGTCTGAAGAAAGCCGGGGCCAGGATGCCCAGAGAGTAGGGCTTGGGGAGCAGAGGGTCTCCTAGCTGGCTATGACCTGGAGCAAACGTGCCAGGCCCTCTTGCCTTCTCTTGCCATTGCTGGATCACCAGAATGAGACATGCCTGCCTACTGGGAGTGGGCAGCATACACCTAGGGCCCTGGCGTCAGCACCCTCCTAACCCCATTTCCCTGCCTGTTTCTTTCCCTTGTTCTGTTTTAGAAGCCGAGGCCAAAAGAGCATGTGAGTGGCTTCGAGCAACGGGATTTCCTCAGTATGTGCAGCTTTTTGAAGGTAAGGCCACTTAGTTGTTCCCCCTCCCCCATTCCAAAACTGTCCTTACCCCTCAGTGTTCCTTCTGTTAAATGGGGCAAGTCAGAGTCTCTCTCTAACTCCGCACAAGCAGTGTCTCCTAGCCCTGCTCCGATTTTTTTCAGGGACTTTGCTTCTGCAGTTGTACCTTTCTCTCCTGCATCATCTCTCTGTGGGATTGCTCTCACCACTGCCACAACTCTACTGTTGCCCATGACTTTAAAGTGCCTTGTCTTAACCAGGGTGACCATGTGGTACCACTCCTGAGGACGCCACATAGGTACACACGGTGTGAAGAATGCCGCGTGGAGTTGTACACCCTGGTGGCCCAGCCGTGACCTCACTTGCCTCACAATGATGGCCTCATTTCTCTGTTTTTCTTCATTTCTCTTCATTTTTGTGTTTTTCTAGAGTTCTTCACACTTGCTGCTTCCCTTCCCCTTTTCCTCCCACACCCCTGCTGCACCCCGACTTCACCTCCACTTCGCCTGGTCAACTTGCCTGGTCAATTCACCAGTGACCTCCACGTGGTCACATTCAGCGGCCACTTCCCAGTCCTCATCTTGCTCCATTTCTCAGCAGCATGCGGTGCCGCTGGCCACTCCTTCCTTTGGCTTCTGGAACACCCCTCTCTACTGGCTGCCTCTCTGGCTGTCGTTCTATCTTCTTAGCTGACTCTGTTTCTTCTAACTGATACGCAAGGATCAGGATATCCCAGGGCTCTGTCCAGGGCCGTCTTCCCTCAACATTTCTTTCTCATGAGATCTTTGTCTAAGTACCATCCATATTCTGATGACTTCCAAATGTCCAGACCTCATTCCCAAGCTCCAGATTCATCTATTCACAGCTTCCAGTTCAGTCTCTACTCAGATGTCTGACGGGCGTCTCAGATTAAACAGGTCTAAAAACCAACTCCTGATGGTACCACCATCTACCCACTTGCTCAAGCCCCATACCTAGGAGTCATCCTTAATTTAATTCCTCATTGTCCCCATCTCCTATTTCTAACCCCTCAGCAAGACCTTTTTCCCTCCAGAACGTATCCTGAATCAGTCCACTTCTTATTCTCTCCACTGCCACAGTCTGGGGTGACCCAGTGTCGTGGCTCACCTGGGCTAGTTCACCAGCCTCCTGTGCTCTTGTACTCTCATTTCTACACTGCAGCCGGAGGGCTCCTGTTGGCCATAGGTCTGACTGTCACCCCTGCTCCAAACCCTCCGATGACCTCCCAGCACAGTCAGAATGAAATATACCCAGATGCTCTGCTCTGGCCTGCCAGGCTGCAATTCTCCAACTTCCATTGATTCTCCTACCTTTGCTCACAGGGCTCCTCTCTACCTACACTTGCTCACACCAAACTCTTTCCCTCTTCAGAGTCTTGATGCTGCTGTTCCTCCTGCCTGGAACTCTCTTTGCAGCTTCCTTGCACAGCTGGCTGCTTCTTATCTTTCAGGACTCAGCTTGGATGTCACTGCTTCAGAAAGCTCTCTGCTAACCACCTCTCTGCAAGCGGCCCCCACCCCTACCAGCCTCCCTTTACACTATCACGCTGGCTGATGTCTTCCATGACATTTGTAACTACACCATCTTGGTTTTAAGTACTGTTGCTTACCTGTTTCCTTTAAGAGTGGAAATCCATGGATGCAGGAAGCATTTTTGTTGTGTTCACTGTTGTATGCTGTATGATTTGCTCAAGTGCCTGGCACAAAGTAGATGCTCAATTAGATACTCATTAGTTGAATGAGTAAAGGAACAAATGGGCTTGCTTCACCAGTAAGGTAGAGAGCTGTGAGACTTCTCAGATTCTCTCTTCTATTTTTCCAACTCCTTTCTTTCCCCTCTCCCCTCCCTAAGTTCCAGGGAGTGGGCTCCTACTGCTGTGGGCCACAGGAGGATGCAAGGTATTGTTTGGCTACTGGGCTATCCTGTCCCTTCTGTCCTTGCTCCCACCCTACTCCCCCAAGTTCACCTTGGGCCAAAGAGAAGTTTCCCTGCCTGATCAGCCCAGGATTCAAGGGGAATGGCGGAGCCCATATTGGGCTCTCGGCAGCCACCCAGGGTCTTGGGCCTGCTACCCCCATGGACCTGCCTCACTGACTGGAGGGATTCTTGGGTCCAGCTCAGCCTTCTAGGCCTCTCCTCTCTCTGACCTTTCCCCTGAACTCGTGGGGCACCCTTCTTTATTCCTGGCTTTTTTCCTTCTGCTTTGCCTCTTGTCTTCCTGCTCCCCCTCCTTCTTGGCCTTTCCCTTCCAGCTCAAGGGCAGTTGAGGCTGAGTTTGTGATCTACCACTGGACTCATCTTTACTTCTCTCTGCCATACAGAAGGTTCGTTTCCCCTGGATATTGGCTCTGTGAAGAAAAACCACGTTTTTCTGGACGAGGACTCTTTGGGGGCCTTGTGTAGGTAGGTGGGCTGAGAGCCAAGCCTGGGAAGCCAAGGGCCCAGCTTGGGGCTTCCTTTTGGAGAAAAAACATCCCTTGCACCCTCTAATAGAGGAGGAGCCCAGCTTAGAGCTCATCTTCTGCGGTCACATTGTTTATTCTGTTCTTCGTGTTTGTGACACCCTTACCCACCCAGTCACTCCAGCTAGAAAGCCAAGATCTGGCCTTGTTTCTTTTCTCCTAAAGTTATATCCCCCAAATATTCCTCCGCTTCAGTCCCTTTCTACTGGCACGAGCTTGGCCCTTGTTTGAGGCCAAACCATGGCTTCTGCTTAGATTGATCACAAGGCTTCAGCCTAACCGGCTTTAGTCTTGATAGCTCTCCTCTCCCCCTTCCTTCACCCCACTCCCAGATCCATCCAGATACACCAGCGTCAGCATTGTCAAAGCTCCAAATGGTTGTTCTTTCTGCTTAAAATTTGTCACTGCCTAAAGATAAAAATGCAAAGACTTTTTAGCATACCACCCAAAGCCCTTTGCAAGCAGGCTCATTAGCCTTAGTGCCACTGGTCTCATGCCCACACTGGTCTGTTTGCTGACTGTGTACCTGCAGGGTCCTGTGTAAGCTTGGGATAAGAGTCCCTGTTTCTCTCACCATCAAAATCCCATTTGTGTCCTTCAGGAAGCCTTCTCTGACTGCATCCCTCCTTCACGCAAGTTGCTTGTCTCTCTGTGTTTGTCTGCTGTGCCTTCTGTCTGTCCTGAACTTGAACCTGTCCCATTTCTGTAGGGTTTATTTCCACTCTCTTTGTAAGCTCCTGGAGGGCAAAGGCCATAATCTTCCCAGCATTGTGTCTGGTGCTTAAACCTTCATGAACACTGGAGCTTGCAAGAAGTTTTGATGGCTTGGGCATGGAAGTGGTGGGCGCATCTTAGGCTCTGCCAGGCTTTGGGGATTGGGACACTTGGGTGGACACTTCTGTTTTGTTGCAGGAGGCTAATGACCTTGAACAGTTGTGCCTCGATGAAATTGGAGGTTCATTTCCAAAGCAAGCAGGTGAGTCATGGCAAGCGTGGGGTCTGTGGTACCATAAGGAAACCCAGGGCACATGTAAACCATTTGTAAAACTAGCTCCAGTATCCCAGGAGTCTGAGATGTCCAGAGCAGTGCCTTTCCCCAGCTAGCGGTAGAGATGGAGGAGATCTATGACCCCATTCTTTCCTGGGAACGAACTTCCTTGCTTTTTTTTTTCAGGGGCTACAGAGGCCTGTAGTCACGTGGGGCAGGCAAGTTACCGAAGCCCTGGGCTGTGAGACAGGAGGCCCGTGGGGCCTGATCTCAGCTCTGCCACTGGTTGCTGAGTGACCTCAGGGAAACCTCTTCCCTTTTGAGCCTCACTTTCTCCATTTTGCAAAGAAGGAGATGAACTAGAACATCTCAAATTCCCTCCAGCTCTGTGTTCTGTGATTCTAATCCAAGACTACAGCCTAGAGCTTGGGAAGATCTGTCACTGACTTAATGCATGTCATTGATCTTGGGCGAGTGGCTCCTGGTTTGTAGGTTTGTTTCCCTATCTGTAAAATTGGAAGGGGGGTTAGATTAATTAGTTGAGCATTACCGTTACCATACATCTGGGCTCTGTCTGTGACTCCTGGCTTCCTCTGACACTCCCAGAGCTAGCTCCCCCTACCTAGGCCATGTTCTCAGCCAGAAAGCAGGGCCCTTCACCTCATAGTCCCCCAGGAGTTTGGAAGCAGATAGTGAAGTACAATCAAGGACTTGTGGCCTGGGCTTCTCTGACCTGACCCTGCCATGCCTTTCCCAGAATGAAGACTCGGAAGAGGAAGAGCAGTGTACCATCAGTAGCCACTGGGCCTTCCAACAGGAAAGTAAGTGCTGGTCTCCTGTGGGGTCCTCTGATCTGTTGGCCCCACCGAGCCCTGGGCTGCCAGTGGCCTCAAGCTGTGAGAGTGTCCTCACTGAGCTTAGCGCCACCTCTCTGCCAGTCATCACTGTGAGTCTACCGCCGGAGCCAGCAGACTTGCCCTTGCCAGGCCGTGCCCCCACCCCGAGTGATCGGTCCCTCCTCAGCCCCACCCAGGGCCAGGAGGGTCCCCAGGACAAAGCCAAGAAGCGCCATCGTAACCGTAGCTTCCTCAAGCACCTTGAGTCTCTGAGGCGGAAGGAAAAGAGTGGCAGCCGGCAAGCAGAGCCTGAGCGGAGTCCAGCCGCCTCAGAGAAGGCCTCCAAAGCCTCATCTTTTCGCAGTTGCCGTAGCTTCCTCTCGGCCGGATTTTACAGGCCCAAGAACCGGGCTGCCACCTCAGCCGGTGGCAGTGGTGCCGACACTCGGAAGGCCTGGGAGGCCTGGCCTGTGGCCTCGTTCCGTCATCCTCAGCGGACACACCGAGGTGATTGCCTGGTGCATGTGCCGGGGGACCACAAACCAGGAACATTCCCTCGCTCCCTGTCCATCGAAAGCCTGTGTCCTGAGGACGGACACCGCCTGGCAGACTGGCAGCCAGGTAGGCGCTGGGGCTGTGAGGGGCGCCGGGGCTCCTGTGGCTCAACGGGCAGCCATGCCAGCACGTATGACAACTTGCCTGAGCTGTACCCAGCTGAGCCTGTACTGGTTGGGATCGAGGCTGAAGATGAAGATGATGGGGAGAGTGGAGGCAGCTATGCTCACCTAGATGACATCCTCCAGCACGTGTGGGGGCTACAGCAACGAGTAGAGCTGTGGTCTCAGGCCATGTACCCAGACCTGGGGCCTGGAGATGAGGAAGAGGAGCAGGCCACTTCATCAATAGAAATAGCCACAGTTGAGGTCAGAGGCCAAGCTGAGGGTCTGGGCCAGATGGAGGTTCCAGCCCACAAAGAGTTCCCAGCCTGGGCACAGGCTGAAGTCCAACAAGCAGTCCTGGCTCCGGCTCAGGCTCCGGCAGAAGCTGAGCCATTGGCACAGGAAGAGGCTGAGGCCCCGGCCCCGGCTCGGGACAGTGAGCAGGAGGCACATTCAGGCGGGGAACCCACCTCTGCTTCTAGCCTGTCTATGGAAGAAGGACACTCCATTTCTGACACTGTGGCCTCCTCCAGCGAACTCGACAGTAGTGGGAACTCCATGAATGAGGCGGAGGCTGCAGGGCCCCTGGCAGGACTCCAGGCATCAATGCCACGTGAACGGCGGGATTCAGGTGTTGGAGCCTCACTTACCAGACCCTGCAGGTGAGAGTTTGCATTGGGATGGGGCGGGGGTAGGGGCTCCTGTTCTCTCTCTGTCTCTGAAGCTGATTTCTTAGTCATGAGGCCCAGGGCCAAGGGCCTGGGGGCTGCATTATCCCCTCATAGCCAGCTCAGGAGAGAGAGTACAGGACTTGGGAATCCAGAAAGTTCAGTCCAGAACCTGCCCCTGCTGTGGCCTTGAGAAAATGATGATCTATCTCCTCTTTGGACCTCAGCTTCCTCCTCTGCAAAGTGAGGGAGGACCAAGCGTTTTCTACCCTGGGGCCTCAGCAGCAGTGCTGAAAGTGTTCCCAGCTCCCTGCATTTTTTCTTTGGTGAGAAAAATGGGGACCAGAAGAACACACAACCTTTTCTAAGGTTTAGCCAAACCTGCTCCTCTGGGCTTCTCCACCCATCTCACCCCTGCCCCCCACCCCCCACCAGGAAGCTCCGTTGGCATAGCTTCCAGAACTCCCATCGGCCCAGCCTTAACTCGGAGTCGCTGGAGATCAACCGGCAGTTTGCAGGCCAGATCAACCTCCTGCACAAGGGCTCGCTGCTGCGGCTCACTGCCTTCATGGAGAAGTACACTGTGCCCCACAAGCAGGGCTGGGTCTGGTGAGTGGCTCCTGGGTCATGGAGAGTGGGGAGCTGCTGATTTAGGTCCACAGCCCCGGGCAGGATCAGCCCAGAAGGTGGGTGCAGGCAGGCAGAGCCCACAGGCCAGGGGAGTGGTGTGATATGCCGGAAGGCTGGAGGGGCTAGGTGAGGCTGAATATAGGGCAGAGGACCTGAGGTCCTCTAGCTGTATCTTCTCCATCCCAACCTCCATGCTGTAACTAGTGAGATTGTCCTAAAATGCAGCTCGGTTGTCACTCTCCAGATAAACACCTTTCTCTGGCTCCCCATTGTCCAGATTCCCTTCCACCATGACTCCTTCCTGTTCTGGTCCTGCTCCATCCTTCTGGCTCTTTAACCCACGACTCCTAAGCAGCCCCACCTTACAGATCAGTGGGACCAGTCATCCTTCCGTGAACGTGCTATGCTCTTTTTCCTGCCTCTTTGCCTTTGTTCGTGATGTGCTCTCTGCCTGGAATGCCTTTTCCCCATTTCTCCTCTGGGACAACGCCTTCCTATCCCTCAAGAGCTTGCTGAGTTACCACATCCTCTCTGAAGCCTTCCCTAACCCGCTAGGTACAGTTCCCCTCCCTCAATGGGGCTTCGCCTAAGTTCTTGGCCTCCTACTGGCCACATGAGTTGTCACTGCCTATTGACATAGTAATCTCCTTGGTCAGACTGAGAGCTCTCTGTGTTCCTCTGTGACTCCTTAGGGCTGGGCCCAAAGCAGGCGCTCAGTGAGTGTTGACTCTGGGGCTGTGGTGTGTGCCTTACCCTCCTCACCCCACCTGATCCTTCGAGACTGCAGGCAGAGTCTCCAAACTGTGTTCCCCCTCTCTGATCACTTGCCACTCTCCCAAACAGGTCAATGCCCAAGTTCATGAGGAGGAACAAGACCCCAGACTACCGGGGACAGCACATATTTGGAGTGCCACCCCTCATCCACCTGCAGCGCACGGGCCAACCGCTGCCACAGAGCATTCAGCAAGCCATGCGTTATTTGCGCAGCCAGTGCCTGGACCAAGTGAGCCCTCTTGGGGCAGTCTGTGGGGGGAGATGGTGCGGGGGTGGGGTGGTGATGAGCATTGGATGGAAGGCTGAGGAGCTGGGGAGGAGAACTGCTCTGGCCTTCCCCCTCACTTGGGCTGGTCCACCAGAGGCCTTTGCTGTTCTCAGGAAGGCCCAGAAAGGATGAAGCTCCTTTCTACTCCGAGGCCCAGCTCTGTGTTCCCTTCTTCCTGGCCCAGGCTTTCTAGTCCCAGTCTTCTGGAAGCCTGAGTTAGCCTTGACCTACCTTTTCCTACTCGTCTCCACAAAAGCATCTTTCTCTTTGGCCCTGAAGCTGTAAAAATCCTTGTATTTGGTTTTGCCATTTGTCTCCCTACCCTGTGCCTCAGGAAGCCTGATGGGCTTTGAAGTCTGGGGTGGCCTACGCTCCCGACACTCCGTCCAGGACTGGCCTCACAGTCTCCCTCCTACTCATACATGCCTGCCTCCCTCCTACTCATACATGCCTGCCTCCCTCCCTCCCCTGCATGGACCAGGTGGGCATCTTCCGCAAGTCCGGGGTTAAGTCCAGGATCCAGAACCTGCGCCAAATGAATGAGACCTCGCCTGACAATGTCTGCTATGAGGGCCAGTCGGCCTACGACGTGGCTGACCTGCTGAAGCAGTATTTCCGGGACCTGCCTGAGCCCATCTTCACCAGCAAGCTCACCACCACTTTCCTGCAGATCTACCAGCGTGAGTCACCCACTCATACCCCCAATAACCTGCCCCATTCTCAACCTCCCTGAATCCCAGGCCTTGTGGAAGATAAGCCTGGTGCAGGCAGATGTAGCTGGACCTGTGAGCTGACTGGAACAGTTACTATCTGGAGTTGGAAAGGCCCTTGGAGAGAGACCATTCTGCTCCCAAACCCATTATATAGAAGGGTAGACTGAGGCCCTGAGGGAAGAAAGGGGAACTACCTAAGTTTACACTGTACATTAGTAATAGAGCTAGATCAGGCACGCAAAGGCCTTATAGAACTGACCTTTTTCCTTCCCTCTCACTGCTCCCCTTGGGACTGCCATGCCTTTTGCCCCCTTGGAAGCAGGAGGCTTGCTGCTAAGGCCTCTGGGGAAGCAAGGAAAGCTCTTTTTCTATTGCTTCTTCACAGTGCTCCCCAAGGATCAGTGGCTGGCAGCAGCACAAGCTGCCACCTTGCTGCTCCCCGATGAGAACCGAGAGGTGCTACAGACCCTGCTCTACTTCTTAAGTGACATTGCCTCTGCCAAGGAAAACCAGATGACAGCAGGCAACCTGGCAGTGTGCCTGGCACCCTCCATCTTCCACCTCAACGTCTCTAAGAAGGATAGCCCCTCTCCCAGGTGAAGTGGGTCAGGGCATGTCAGGGCCGGGCTGGGTCCAGACACTTCGGGCCCCGACACTTCGGGCCCCATTGGACTTTTGGCCTTTGATGGCTGACGGTGCTATGTCTCAGCCTCACCACAAGGAGCGAGCCTCACTCCTCAGGGGCTCTGGGCTGGTGGGATGCTGTGGAGCAGGGCCTTCCAAAAGGCAACAGGTTGTTTTGTGGCCGGGTTTGACAAAGTTGCTTCCTGGCAGCTGGAAGGCACCGTGTTGACCATCTTGTCTTGAGCCCTTGTGCCATCTCTCCTCTTACCACCTCCTGCCCATCTAGGATCAAGAGCAAACGCAGCCTGGTTGGCAGGCCTGGCCCTAGGGACCTGAGTGAGAACATGGCAGCCACCCAGGGCCTGTCGCACATGATCAGTGACTGCAAGAAACTTTTCCAGGTGAGTAACCCCAGGCCATGGCACCTACTTACGAGACCTGAGAGAACCATCAAGTCTGACCTTGGTGCCCCAAGTCAGGGATAGGACCCAATTTGACACATACCTCTCAAGCTCATACTCTTCCCCCACAAGGTTTCTCATTTACCTTGCTGTGGTAGCTGCACCTCTCCACTGCCTTTAAAGTGAACCTGACAGACCCCATGGGGTCTCCTGCTCTCTGAAGCTGCAGCCCAGTGTGTGTGTGCACTCTCAGGTGCCCCAGGATATGGTGCTGCAGCTGTGCAGCTCCTACAGTGCAGCTGAGCTCAGCCCTCCCGGACCAGCCCTGGCTGAGCTGCGTCAGGCCCAAGCTGCAGGGGTGAGCCTGAGCCTCTACATGGAGGAGAGCGTCCAGGACCTGCTGCGTGATGCTGCTGAGCGCTTCAAGGGCTGGATGAGCATGCCAGGGCCCCAGCACACGGAGGTGGCTTGCAAGAAGGTGAGTACCACACCACGAGTGGCTGCTATGGGTCTGGGAGAGCATGGTACAGGCAAGGGGAGTCTGGAAACCCAAAGGAGGGAGCCCAGGAGCTGTCCTCCCGGTCTCGCAGTGCCTCAGCCTGATCCTTGGAGAATGTCAGAGAGCCGAGAAAGTGCTTTAAGGAATCAAGAACCAAATGAGACCAAGGGAGCTCTCTCAGGAACCACCTGCCAGAATGACCCTCCAAATGCCCCGTTTCAGACACGACGTTGCTTTGATAGCCTCAACTCCCATCTCGCCCTGCCCTGCAGTCCAGCCGAATCCTTGCATTTGCACCTTTGTGTGGTCCTGCTGCCTGGACTGCCCTGACCCCAAGCATTACATGTCCCAAACCAACAACGAATGTGTTACTCCTCCATTTAGTGTCGGATGGAGGGGATTTCTCTCTGTTCCCCTCTGGGCGCTGGCCATGCTCTTTCTTGGACGTGGATTCTGAGTAAGATTGCAAGCCTGAAGTGTCCTGTGTAAAAAGTGTCATAACAAAACCTCCCATGTAGGATCAGGGTGAGTGCCTGGCACATACAAAAGGCACCGTACGGGGCAGCTTATGTAGTACATGTGCTAGATGGCGAGCTCCTTGATAATCATCACCATCTTCCTGCACTTCCAAGCACTATGCCCATCACGGTAGGGCCTGAGAGGCCTCTGAGAATGTGTGTCCTGTCATCTCTTTATGATGTCTAACAGGCTGAAAAGCAGACATCCAGAAAAGAGAGAGGGAGAGAGGGCGGGGAGCATGGGGGCACTCTCAGCCTGGCCAGGGTTAGCAGAGGAGCTCTGCAGCCTACCCTATCGAGCCTCAGGCCCTGCAGTTTGAGGCCTGGACTTAGGGATAGAGTCAGAGTTCCCCAGCCCTGACAGCTGCCCCTATCCCCACTCCTGTGGCTCACAGGCACCAGACGGGCACCCCCTGCGGCTATGGAAGGTGTCCACAGAGGTGGCAGCCCCCCCAGCTGTGGTGCTGCATCGTGTTCTCCGGGAGCGGGCCCTCTGGGATGAGGACCTGCTACGGGCCCAGGTGCTGGAAGCCCTGATGCCGGGTGTGGAGCTGTACCACTATGTCACCGACAGCATGGCACCCCATCCTTGCCGTGACTTCGTGGTGCTTCGGTGAGGGGCCGCAGCTGCCACTTCATTGTGCTTGGGGGGCCGGGGAAGTGGGGTGGAAACCAGCACTAAGAATCTGAGCCTATGTGTCCCTTCTCTGACAGGATGTGGCGCTCCGACCTGCCACGTGGGGGTTGCTTGCTTGTCTCCCAGTCCCTGGATCCTGAGCAACCAGTGCCAGAGTCGGGTGTGCGGGCCCTCATGCTCACGTCCCAGTACCTCATGGAGCCTTGTGGTCTGGGCCGCTCTCGGCTCACACACATTTGCCGCGCGGACCTCAGGTACCGGGCCTGGGATGGCCTGCTCAGTCTTCTTGGCCCTGACCCCTCCCCTGCCTCTGCCCCCACTCTCTGCCTCATGCTATTGATCCCTGAGGCTGGGGACAAGTCCTTTCTTCCTTCTCCCTGGTGAGAGCTCCAGGGAAAAACCCATCGCTCATGCCTGTTTTCTTCTACTTCCTTAGGGGCCGTTCTCCTGACTGGTACAACAAAGTATTTGGGCACCTGTGTGCCATGGAAGTGGCAAAGATCCGGGACTCCTTCCCCACCCTGCAGGCAGCAGGGCCTGAGACAAAGCTGTGAGCCTTGGGCTGGTCCCAGGGTGGCACCACCGAGGCCCCCCAGGCACCAAGGGAGTGAGGGGGAACCAAGAACAGAGCAGCCCCCTGGGTGCTGTGCCAGGAGCAGAGCCAGGCCCCGGTGGCTCCAGCTGCCTGTCCTGCCCTCTTTCCTAAAGTTCCTCTGCACATAGAGGGGAGAAAAAGAGAATTTAGGCAACTCCACTCCCCCTTCACCCCCACGCCCGTATTCTACTCTCCGAAAAAGAGAAGACAATTGAATGAGTAGCAAGAAGACTTCTGCCACCTGCTACCTGCCCGTAAGGCCACCACTTGGCCTGAAGCTGCCACAGCTCCCCGCCTGTAGGGACAAAGAAGTCAACAGCAGTGTGTGATTCCAGGTCTCTACCAGACTGAGAGGCCAAGACGTCTTGTTTGCTGCAAGGGTGATTTTGAGATGGGGCATGAGGTTCTGGTCCTGCCTTCAGGGCCAACCTTGGCCCTGAAGTGGCTTCTTTAGAGGAATTGGACTGGAGTGAATGGGCACAGAGGTGGAGCACAGGGCAGCCCCAGTCACCACGAGCTGTTTCATTTGTGTAAATACGATGCTGAATTTTATGAGGCTGAGTTGAGGGTGGGCACTGATGGGCCCCTAATACACGACATGATGACTTGGCATAGATTGGGATGTGAGGGTGGAGAACCTTCCTTTCTCAAGTCTCAAGATGCCAATGAAACCAGTTTTCACTGACTTGGATTTCACGCTTTATCTGCCACCCCATGGGGTCCTCTGTAGCCTTTGGCCACACACAGCCACTGCCCAGGCCAAGCAAAAGCAGAGCGTAGTTAAGAGACAAGGGTTTATGTCCTTGTCCCTTTTGCCTATGGTAATGGGCTAATATAACAGCCCCTTTCTCAAGCAGAGACCTGGCCCCTGGGCCAGCCAGATGGAAGGCGTATCATAGCCAGCTGGAGCTTAAGCTAAACCTGTTCTCTCCTACCGGCCAGCCCTCTTTGCTCACATGGAAATTCAAAGGCCACTGGTGCTTTATTTTTCTATCTGCCGAGCAAACTGAAATAGTGTTGGATCCCAATCACCTCTGTAATTTTCAAGCCTATTTTATTTGTACCTGTAAATACTGTACAGCTAATATATATATATGTGTTTATATAGATACATATACACACATATATATACACATGCATTTGCACAGACACACACATATATCGATTCTCATGAAATATAATCTCTGGGTGGGGGTAATGGTCTGGAAGGCCTGAGGGGCACTTCAGATGAGAATGGAGATGTAGGGAGCCAGGTGCAGCAGGATCCCTCAAATCAATAAAGCATTACCAGAGATGCACTTTAACTGTGTGGCTGTCTTTTTGCTGACAATGGGCTGGGGAATGGGGATGGAGGTTGCAACTGAGGCTTCAGTGTTAGGGCTCAGAGCATTGAGCATTCACCTCACCCTCTGCTGAGTTTCAGCTTACTGGGAGCAGGACTTGGGTGAGCCCACAGGAGGAATGGGGAGGGCCTCGGCTCTTCTCTGGAGAGGGATTTTCCGCCAGGCATGGTTGAGGGGTGCAGGGAGTGGGTGAGTTAGCCAGAACTTGGGCAGAAGCTGCAAACCCCATCTCATGACCTGGCCACAAGCATGACCTCAGGCATCCTAGGGACAGATAAGCCTGGCTAGGTGCCCATTCCTTCCCCTTCTAAATGGCACGAATGAAGAGTGAAGTCCCAGCCCAGGAGGCTTAGGGGGCCCTGTGCCACTCCTAAGCCAACCTAAGAGGTCTGAGTGCTTTAAGGGAGACTCTGGTCTGGCTCTATTGACCCCAAAGCCCAGGAGGCTAGAGAGACCCTCTCATCTTGATTTCCCCAAAGGAAGGGGCTTTCCTCTGCCATGTTGTGTGGCCCTAAAATTCCCAGGCTCCGAAGAGCAGCTAGAGAGAAAGTCCAGGTTTTGGACGTTTGCATCCCTGAAGGGCTGTCAGTAGACTGGGAAGGCAAGCCCTGCTCTCTGGGTACCTCAGCCTCCTCATGGGTCAAAAAAAGCCAGTCATGCCTTGCCACCTGGCTCTGTAAGTGTTCAGGTCGCACCACCCAAGTCTGCACTCCTATCTGGCCTGAACAGTGGGGTGCCTGCCCATGCCTGGCTGCTCTGTCACCTCCTTCCATTCACTCTTGGATTTAGTTGTCCCTATATACCTTGGCTTTTCATCACTGTTGCCACCTGGGGGTCTTGTCTGGCCCTGGAAGGGAGTGAGGTAGAGCAGGGGACCCAGTCGACCCCTTGTATTTGAGAAAACTAAGTGCAGGCCCCTCGTGTGTGAGTATGGGCTGGGAGATCACTCTGGTGGTGCTGGGCTTAAGGGATACCAGTGTGATGCTCTGGCTAGTAGTTCTTGAGGAAGGCATCAGGGCCTTCTGGCCCAAGCACCAGCCACCTTGTCTTGGAAGGAGGCTGGTGGTAGGGTATAGAGGACGGGGCACAGCACTCGGGTGATGGCTGCTAGGATATGAATAAAGAGGAGGGAGGCTCTTGGAAGGGCCAGAGAGTTCCCCAGCCTTGCAGCTCTGGTCTCTGCTACCCTGACCCAGTCGCCCAGTGTCTGGCAGTCTGGAAGAGGTAGCTCCAAGTAGGAGAGCTTCTGCTGGGCCTTAGCATCCTCCTGTGTAAAGCAGGGCCCCCATCCTTCATTTCTGCCTACTCCATCGTGCCTCTAGATGTAGGAATGAATTTCATGATGAGGCTGCCCAGGCCTCTCATTCTCAACCACAAAGCAAGCACCACCCCTAGCCATTTCTAGCCTTGAGTCTCGTCCCTCTACCCACCCTGAGTAGGCTGCATTTCTCTGGTGCCAGAGAACGTGTCTTCAAATTCCCAGCCCCACTACCCATAGCCTCTCCTCTTGTGCTTTCTCTGACCCACTGCCTCAAAGAAACCAGGCCGTAGGGGAATCCTGCATAGAAATCTGACAATCTGCCTGTGAACTTTGATTATTGTTTCCTAGTCTCTAGTGCTCTTTTGCCAGAGTGGCTGAGAGTAGATGGTGGTCAGACCCAGGCTCAAATCTAGCTATATCATTTCCTGGCTGTGTGACCTTAAGTGGCACATTTAACATTTCTGATTTCTTTTTCCTCTCAGAAAATAAGGGTAAGAATCATGTGTATCTTGTAAGGTCATTGTCAAGCCTAAATGAGCCAATAGTTGTGAATGTGGTTGCACAGTGCCTCGTGCATAGTAGACATCAAAAGATGGTAGTCCCCCCTGCCCTGTGACTTTCCTGCCAGTCAGACTCCATAGGGAGAACTTGGTCCCCTCACCTGGCATCTCCAGCTCCAAGACGGGGAGGAGCTGGTGGGCTCTTCTCCCATCAAGAGAAAGACGAGCAGCCAGCATCTGCCCATTGTCAGTGAAGAAAATGAAGTAGCAGGTTGCAATGGAGGCTTCACGGGGAGACAGCACCATGCAAGTGGGCTCCAGTGGTGTGGATGGAGGAGAACACACTGGTGTAGGCAAAGATGATGACAATGGCAGCCAGGAGCTTTACACCTATACGTAACAAAGCTTCTGAGCTCATTGCTCAAGGCCTGGGGGTGTGGAGATGGGTGAAAGAAAGTCCAAGGCAGTCTGGCATGGAGGTACACAGGGGATAGGGTTGGGGCTATGGAGATCCAGGGAAACTCAAGAGATTATGCCCCTCACCCAATGATGGAGAGGAGTCAGCAGTCAGGGTCATCAACAGGGCACGTAAACAGGAGAACTCAGAGACGGGCATGGGAACTCCATTGCATGAAGCTGCAGCCAATGGGGAAAAAGTCTCAGAAAGTGGCTTGGGGCTGGCAACCAATGCAATGCTTTCTGGGCAGAGAGTCATTCGCGAGCCAATTGGTAGCAGGGTCTGAAGATTAGCTGCTCACCAGGTGCCAAGGAGGGAATCAGAGCAACACTTTCCCCTTCATCAAGGGTCAGATAAACTGGTCAGGAAGCTGGCAGCTTGGACCCTGCCCATCATGTCCTCATCCTCACTCAAGAAATTGGTAGAATGGAATAGCCCCAGGCAGCTGAACTTGCCCATGCATCAAGCTGAAGAGGAAAGGAGATGCCATTGTTTCCATGGCACTTGCCTGAGGGGTCATAGCACCAATGGAACAGAATAGAGAAGCAGAAACAAATCCACACACCTACAATGAACTCATTTTTGACAAAGGTGCCAAGGATATACACTGGGAAAAAGACAGTCTCTTCAATAAATGCTGCTGGGAAAACTGGATTTCCATATGCAGAGTGAAATGATACCACTATCTCTCTCCATATATAAAAATCAAATCAAAATGGATTAAAGACTTAAATCTAAGACCTCAAACTATGAAACTACTACAAGAAAACACTGGGGAAATTCTCCAGGACATTTGTTTGAACAAAGATTTCTTGAGCAATACCCCACAAGCCCAGTTAACCAAAGCAAAAATGGACAAATGGAATCACATTAAGTTAAAAAGCTTCTGGACAGCAAAGGAAACAATCAACAAAGTGAAAACACAACCGACCGAATGGGAGAAAATATTTGCAAACTACCCATATGACAAGGCATTAATAAACACAGTACATAAGGAGCTCAAACAAATCTATAGAAAAAAATGTAATTGAAATGGGGAAAAGATTTGAAACACATTTCTCAAAAGAAGACAAACAAACAGCAAACAGGCATATGAAAAAGTGCCCAACATCACCGATCATCAGAGAAATGCAAATCAAAACTAGAATGAGATATCATCTCACCCCAATTAGAATGGCTTATATACAAAAGACAGGCAATAACAAATCCTGGTGATGATGTGGAGAGAAGGGAACCCTCATACACTGTTGGTGATGTAATTAAGGGTAATTAAGTACAACCACCATGAAGAGCAGTTGGGAGGTTCCTCAAAAAACTAAAAATAGAGCTACCATATGATCCTGCAACCCCCCTGCTAGGTATATATCCAAAAGAAAGGAAATCAGTATGTCAAAGAGATATATGGACTCCCGTGTTTGTTGCAGCACTGTTTACAATAGCTAAGACTTGGAAGCAGCCTAAGTGTTCATCAGCAGATGAATAGATAAAGAAAATGTGGTACATATACATAATGGAGTACTACTCAGCCATAAAAAAGAATGAAATCCAGTCACTTGCAACAACATGGAGATGGGACTGGAGATCATTACGTTAAGCGAAACAAGCCAGGCACAGAAAGACAAACATCGCATGTTCTCGCTTATTTGTAGGATCTTCTCTGGCTGAAAGATATATCACTACTTAGTCTCTGACTTTAAGGTTCTTACTCTCTGAGATTCTCCTTTGAAGATGTTCCACTGCTCAGACCCTGATGGCTTGTGTTTCATTTTAATAATGCTGCCCATTCCCTTCCTGGAAACTACAGGAATCTCAAGCTTAAATTCCTACAAGAACCAAGCAGTTAGCACAGAGAAACAAAGCATACTGGGTAAAGACTATGATTGCAGGGTTCATGCTCCATCTAAAGAGGGCAACAGCTATTCCCTTCTCATCCATTATGGACAGGAGGGAATGTGGGTCCAGATATGGATAGCTACATCTTCTGATTTTTCCAAGGAATCTAGAAATCCATTTTTTTTAACAGCATCTGGCTCTGTCACCCAGGCTAGACTGCAGTGGTGTGATCTCAATTCACTGCAACCTTCACCTCCTGGGCTCAGGTGATCCTCCCACCTCAGCCTCTTGAGTGGCTAGGACTACAGTCTTGTATCACCACACTCAGCTAATTTTTGTATTTTTTGTAGAACTGGGGTTTCACTATGTTGGACAGGCTAGCCTCGAATTCCTGAGCTCAAGCAATCTTCTCACCTTGGCCTCTCAAAGTGCTGGGACTATAGGCATGAACCACCACGTTTGCTCAAATCCTGATTTCTATGTGAAATCTACCCTTTTAGAATATTGGTGGCCAGGTATGGTGGCTCACACCTGTAATCTCAGCACTTTGGGAGGCTGCAGTGGGAGGACTGCTTGAGACCAGGAGTTCAAGACCAGACTGGGTAACACAGTGAGACACTGTCTTCAAAAAAAAAAAAAAAATTAGCCGGGTATGGTGGCATGCGCCTGTAGTTCCAGCTACTTGGGAGGTTGAAGTGAGAGGATCACTTGTGCCTGGGAATAGGATCACATTATTGCACTCCAGCTGGGGCAAGAGAGGGAGATCCTGTCTCCAAATAATAATAATAATAAAATAAAATGTTGGTGGAAAATTTTAAAATAACATGCAACAGACTCAACATGCACATATGAATACATGAATAGCCCACTGGTTTGCACCCTATACTCTAGAACAAAGTTTATAAAATGT